ATAATTTTTGAGAAATTTTAAAAAAACTTTTTAAAAATTATTTTAGCAGACAAATTTGTCTGCTAGACAGTTTAAGGAATAAGTTAGATATTAATACTGTAATTAGTCACTCTAAAGTTTTAAAAACTTACTTGGTAGAACAAACCAAGCTATCGATGTAATTATTGTTAAAGCTCTAAAACAAAATGTGCTTAATATTACTTCTTTCAATTAAAGAATTCATTGATAGTAGATTATAGTACCTAAAGTCTTTCATGTTAAAAAAAACAATAACAACACATTGCAAAAAAACTAATTGCTAAAAAAATACAAGTTTTTGAGGTATTAAGTCATCATTTACTCAAAATTCAAATTAAATAATGAATTATTACCAGTTGTTAACCAAGTAAGTGCTATATATCTAAAAACATTTATTATACCTATTATAAAAATAAACCATAATATTAATTATATTATTAAAAAAGAAACTTTAGTACTTTTGTTAAAAATTAGTTCGTTCTTACAAATATTTAACACCTTTATTATAGTTAAGTTCTTCATTAGTTTGATCGAACATGAGAACTTTTGACAGTGCTATATTATAAAAAGAACTTAAACACGTCAAGTTTGTTAGATTATAAGAATATGATAATAAGATCTTTATTACCAAGAGCTGGGCAAAGAAATGTGAGAATAAAAAGTTGTAAAATTAATAGTGCCAAACAATATGTTCTTATTTTTCCTTTTGGCATTTCACACTTTTTGAAATTAATTCATCCGTTAAACAACTTTGTTAATATATATATATAACAATACAAAAGCAATTTTAACAATACAAAACAAAAATTGCAATCAAATAGATTTTTCTCTTAATTTCATAATCTTGTAACACACTACGTAATATTTAAAAAGCTAAATAACCATAATAAAGATATTACATTATTATAATATCTTTTAGTTTCGATCTATTAAAAAGAATTTAGGAGAGAATAAAGATTAGATGTTATGTTTGATTCTAAAAGTACGCATTCTCTTGAGAGTTTAATGGTTTTTTAATTACTAATTCGTTTTGATATTAAATTTATTATTAATTAGTTGGTTATAGTAATTGAAAATTAGGTCATGCTTGTTAGTTTTATTATTTTTTCTTTTTTTATCTTTTGATATATTGTAAATAATTTTTTTATTAAAAAAATTTTTATAAGTATATTTTAAATTTAATTGGCTAATAAAATTTTTTACATTTTACAAAACACCTAACTCATGATTTCACGTGATTTGTCATGTTTCAAATTTGTCAATAATACTTGTCAAATCCCAAACATAATAAAATTGTCTCAAATCCCAATCCCAAATTTCAATCTCTAACATTTACTTGTTAAAGAATTTACAGCAGTTTTCGGCTAATGATAAATATAATGCTTTTAATTTCGCTAAACTATTTATCTCTAAATTTGCGAAAGTTTTTGTCTTCTTTATATCCTTAAGATTCTTTCCAGCTTTTGGTACTTTAAGAAGTTCAATTGCCGATTCATTTTTTGATTCATTTTTTGTGTCAATTTGGTTTACTGAGTCACCTAATTCGAAAACTTCTTGAGCAGATTCAGTTTTGGACAAATAGATAAACAAATTGATAAATTATTTTTGTCAAAAGTATGTTGTTAAAAACAAAGCTCGTGGGCAAAATATAAATTATAGATTCTATGCAATTTATT